CAAATAGCTGAATCATTTGGTCTTGAACCAATTGAGGAAGAATATTCAGATATAGAATAAGTATACACATTAAAAAGGATAGAAGATAAAACCTCTTCAGGAACATCTACTTTAGAAGACAGTGATACGAAGTGAGGATAACCTCATCAGTATTACAAATCTAAATTCATTCTACATTAAAGGTAAGTTGAAATTCGCACGATATAAACAAATGGAAATACATTTCTTTGTTGATACAATTGCAAGCCTTTGTATATCTTTAGAACATATTATGCCTGAAGAACATTGGGAAAATGCTTCAAAATCATTACAAGTAAAAATTGTCGATGGAAGCACAATTTTAATAAACAATGTTTGCAAGAATTTGAACATTTTGATTGTAGAAGAAATACTTCATATTCCAACTGTTTAACAACAAGAATCTGGTATGGATTTTATTCTGGGAAATAACTTATATCAATTATATGAACATTTTGTTCAGTACACTGATAGAATAAATTTCACAAAAAATGGTCAACATGTTCATATAGGGAAATTGCGAACAACATATAGATTTGGAAATCCAAGATACTTAGATTCTATGAAAAAGAATGTAAAACCAATAAACCAAATCCAGTTCAAATAACAGCTGATAAACTCTCACTTCTACCAGAGAGGGGAAAGAGGTTATTAGATATTAAAAAAGAAATGAACATTTTTGTACTAAACCAACAAAAATTTTCTGTAATTGAAAAACTATGAAAAAAAGTCTGTGCAGATAATCGACTTGATCCTAATAAACCCAAGTATTGGATGGTGGCTTCTATCAAACTAATAGATCTCAAAACTGAAATTGTGGTGAAAGCAATGAGCTATACACAAAAGATAGAGAAGAACTAAATCAACAAGTTCAAGAAATGCTTGACATGAAAGTCATCATTCCAAGTAAGTCTCCTCACAGATCACCAACATTTTTTCTAGATAAGAAAGGAACTTCAAAACGCAAAATTGTTATTGATTACCGAGAGGTAAACAAGAAAACAATTGGCGATGGTCATAATTTACCAAATAAGGATGAACTGTTATCTTTATTAAAAGGAAAGACAGTGTTTACATCTTTTGATTGTAAATCAGGTTTTTAGAAGTCCTTTTAGATAATGAATCCCCATTACTATTAGCTTTTACATGCTCATTATGATATTATTAATTTGTGGTAGTACCCTTTGGTAAAACAAGCTCCTTCAATCTTTCAAAGGCATGTGAATAACGCATTTAGAAAGTTTGAAAATTTTGTTGTGTGTATGTTGATGATATACTTTTTTAGTAACACATAACAAGAACATTATATGCATGTTGCAGTAATTCTGAAACAATGTGACAGGTTAGGAATACCTTGTCTGAAAAGGAAACTCAATTGTTTAAAAAAAATTGACTTTTTAAGGATAACAGTTGAAGAAGGTTTTCATAAACCACAAATCCATATCTTGAAACACATTCACAAGTTCCCTGATAAACTTGATGATAAGAAACATTTAATGCACTTTCTAGGTGTATTAATCTATTTTTCAGATTATATTCCTAAATAGCTAATATAAGAGAACCCTTACAAGCTAAATCAAAGGAAGATAAAAAATGGTATTGGACATAAGCTGATACTAATTACATGAAGAAGAAAAAAAAAAGAACTTAATCAGTATTTCTTTATTATATCTCACAAAAATAGATGATCAATTAATCATCGAAACAGATGCATCGAATGCATAATGTTGTGGTGTTTTAAAAGCATTATCTGAAGAAAAAGAGTACATCTGTCGATATGCTTCAGGAAGTTTTAATTCTACTGAAAAGAATTATCATTCAAATGAAAAAGAATATCTTGCAGTAAAAAATACTATCAAGAAACGTACAATTCATCTTACTCCTTGCAAATTCACTATTAGGACGGATAATAAAAACTTCACTTACTTCTTGAAAACTAAGATGAAAGGTGACAGTAAACAAGGTAGACTTGTAAGATGGAAAATGTTGCTTAACCAATATGAATTTGATGCGCAGCATATTGCAGGAAACAAGAATGCCCTCGCAGACTTTCTATCTCAGGAGTTTAACGACTTTTGATAAAATGTTTGCAGGATTAAGTCTTATCAGAGCACATAACCAGTCACACACGGTGATAATAGGGAGTTTCTTCCTAGGCACTATTTTTGCTTGAAAAGCATCATCTAAAATGGATGAATTAGAACAACTTCGGTTGCAAGAAGGACTTCTTGTCCAAGAACTTGAATTGGTTCGCGCCAAAATAAAATATGTAAGCTTGTTTAGAGATGAACAAAAAAGAGATTCTACTGTCCCTATAGATCTTGAAGGTGAGACTAGTCCAAATGAGGCAATATCTACACCTGTCCAAATGCAAACTGTTAAGTAGAAATCAAGGTGGGCCAACCACTTTGAAAAGCATGTATGATGATAAAGATTTCCAGACAACGTCAAATTCAACCAACTCACAAGCCATGGAATAAAGGATAAAGTGTGAGAACATGTGATGGCATGATTAAGGGCATAGAGAGTGCATAATTAGCCAGAAGTTTCTCAATGGAACGCGTGCCAACATGGCTCACTTCAGGGATGACGTTAATCATCTTATACAGACCCTCATTCTTTACTCTATATAAGGACGAGATCATTTTGAATAAAGGGACATCAGAAAAACGAGAGTCTAGTCTATAGTTGTCTCTCTAAATTGTAATGTGTGAGTAGTGATGAAGTTCCTCCCAAATGAACATATGATGTACCCGAGAATTCTTTTTCTTATTGTGAAATAAAACATATCTTAGTTTGTTTAGCCGAGTTCTTATGCCACAATCACTGGAGCGCCTGGAGGAAATAAAGCCGTTTGACTGAAGAAGTACCCGGAGGGGAAAAAAGTATGCAGAGGCGTCCTTGGCATTGGTAAGGAGCAATACAAAACTACAGAAGAAACAAAAGGTACGATTTCACAATATCAATGAAAATTCTACGATTACATTTATTAAAAGATCTAATTACTAATATGTGTCCTAGGAAGGGAACTCTTAGAATAAAGGTTTTAGAACAAAAGGAAAAAAATTTAAGTCTTAACCGACAGAACTAAGAAAATCCTTAATTTTGCATGGATAACGATGATTTTTGGCGTATTCCATTAAGAGTAGTGTTTAAAAACATAAATTGTCTCAAAATATTAAGAAACAATTTGTTCAAATAACAAAAATGTCAAAAGAAGAAGAACAAAGGTTGGATAATCTAGTTCAAACTTACCGTTCTGCACCGGCAGTTGTTAAACAAGCAACTGTTAGAACCTATTTCCAAAGGTGTAGATTTCCTTAGTTACCGCAATTAAGCAGTCAATAAAGAAACAAAAAATAAGCATCCATTTTAAGTGCTTAGTTAATAAAGTCTTTTCAAACAAAAAACTCTAAGTTAAATTCTCAGTTCATTACTTTTGAATAATTTCTTAATTACATACTTTAACATGTATTTTAATATGTACAAATTCTACACGGGGATCAGCTTGCCTAAAAATCATGGTATCAGAACCATGGTTAAAAGAAAAAACCTATTGGATAATAGATCTTTTGATCAATATTTTCTGAATTCGTCTCCAATACAGAATTAATACTTAGAATGGGGAATACCAGTATTAGTGATTTCATCTAAGGTGGAGACAACTGGAAAACATGTTTGGAATATGAATTCCAATACAGATAACGAGAAAAGTAATATAGAGCAAGATCTGTCTTAATAATGATTTTTCACAAATTTCATTTAATGAAAATGAGAAAGATTTTAAAGCTAGTTTAGCAATAAAACATGATGTTTTAAGAAAGATTCAAAAATCCAAGTTAAATCTCAAAAAGGAAGAAATTTTCAACATTCGGATGTTAAATTTATTTAAAAGAAAAAAATAAAATCATATTACTTTGTTAACATGAAAAAATTGCATGTAGACTTAAGAGATGTTAAAAGAATAGTATATCTGCCTTTAATTACTAAAGCAGAAATACGAAAAAAATTGGAGAAGATTTTGTCTTATATAAGAAATAAAAATTCAAAAGTTAATCTAGGAGCAATAAAAATTTTGCTTAAAGTTGAGTTTTAAGAAAGGATTGTTACTCCTATAAAAATGGCATTAATTGATAATAGAATCAATTATAGAAAAGATTGCATATTAGGTGCACCAAAAGAAAATCTTGCCTATGATAAGTTTATCTTCACAGTTTATCCTAATTCGAAATGTCTATCAAAACTGCAAATTTAGATAAAACATTTTCTTTCATTCATCATTTTGAAAGAGACAATCTAATGAACTCTGGAAACAAAGTCTTAACTGTTACATGTGTTATAAGTTATACATTAACTAATAGTAATCATAGTATAGATTATAAGAAAAAATCCTATATTGAAATAGAAAATAACTTTTCAGATCAGTAGAAGAAAAACTTTATGTGAATTAGCACATCTAGAAGAACATTGGGTTGTTGATATAGCTAAAGGAAAATCTCTAATAGAAAATAAAAATTCTGTATGAGTTAAGGAAAATTTTTTAATTATAAAAAAATCAAGTAGACAATCTGTTTTAAATTCTCTGACAAACATGTCTGAAAGAATAGATAATTTATCCGATATGTTAAAACAATTAATAGAATAAAATATCTAATAGGGAAAATAGCAAAAATGATATTGGTAGTAACACCCATGTGAGGGCACTATCTACCTCTACATAGAATGAATCTAAACCGAGAAACAACTATCACCTCTAATGAATAAATTTCTGACCAAACAGACATCAATCTTTGCAGCAAAGCAAAATTCTTACTCATTACCTTGACATTATGTTACAGCAATAGAAAAATATACATCCAATGAGATTCCATAGTCTCATACAGAGATCATTTATTCTAATTCAATAAGGAATATCAATCAGCTTCAGTCTACTCTTCTGATTGCATAATTATACAAACAACAAACTGTGTACTTCTTTCCATTTAAGACTGTAAGGCTTTCTCATTATCCTTTTCGGCCACAGCTTCGGCATGTTGCTCCAAGTACTCTTTGCTGTTCATTTCAGTTAACCTGCAACAAAAAGTAAAATTCACATTCTCAATCTCTGTTTTGAATCACCATTATTCCTAATGTTCGTTTGATGATCATAATTTCAGAAGAAAAAAAAAAAAAGAAAATCAAAGTAAGTTTTTCATTGAACTAAACAGACAACTAAGAATTGCGAGTATATGACATTAACACGGGAATAAATTGCAAATCTCAGCAGTTTACTAGTTTATGGTATATAATATATATGATTAGAAAAACCATTTCATGAAAGTTTAACCACACAAAAAAAGGACTTATTGTAATTAATTCATCAGATCAATAATGGAACAAGTTCTGAGAGGTAGTAATGTATCAATCATGACAAACCGAATTTCCAAAGATACCTGACCTTTTCTAAACAAATTGAACAAGAAAAATTATCATCCCTTCTTAACAATAATGTGTAGAGTAATAGTTCAAAATGTGTAAAACTTAGCTAACCCATACAATATATATACCCTTGGCAAGCACAGGTGGAATACAAAGGAAACAATTTAAAATCAAGATGGAACTTGCAGCTCCATAGTTTTTGAAACATTTTGGACAAAGCAAAAGCCTTTGTTCTGCAAAGTTTTAGTGTGAAAAGATTTGTATAATATATATTTGGACGTTAATTAAAAATATTATACTTAAAAAATTTAAGTAAGATATAAAACAAATTTATTTTAAATTTTCAAATTTTAGTTTATATTTATCAGAATAGAGATATTTTCTATAAATGCAGTATGGTTGTCAATCGAAGATCGTCAAGTGACAATTAATTTGATACAACTATAAATGAAAACTAATAACAAATAAAAAATTGATTAACTTTCAAAATATATTAATAACTTAAGTTGATCAAGTGTTTTATAATTAAAGTCCTAATAGGCATGCATAAAAGTCCAAACCTACTAAAGTTACTCCGAACCACCATAAGTTGGCACCTAGGATTACGTAACACCAGAAACTGACACATAGGATTACGAAGCACCAGGAATCGACACATAGGCTCGGGAAGCTCTGATCTATATCTAAATATAGAGACTTAGAGAGGGATATAAAACTAAGAACTTTGAATAAAATCTCCTTTTGCAGTCTATTTATATATAATTTTTTTAACACGGCGTTTGTTTGCAGCTTTCAACTTTGTATTATTGAAACTACAAATGCCATTTTAACAGATGCACAACATCAATCTGTTTTT